AACAAATAACCAATGCTAAAGTAAACTATGTTACCTGGACTCGGATATGGGTGTGTATCGGGTATGGAGATATGAGCGTCCGACTCGTCAATAGTTTAGAAATCTTGAACATTTTAAGCTAAAATGCCACACCCGACACTCATACCCACACCAGTGTCGACACAACATGACACCGGTATTCTTCCTAAATAGAAGAGTCCGGGTAACATAGAAAGTAAAGGGGAAAAAGGAAAGCACAGGAAATTTGAACATTCTGAGACAATCAAACAGAATATGATGAAGCAAACGGATGAAGTTATTTCAAGTACCTGGAGTTGGCAAGCTAATTTTGGGAGTGGGAATAACAAGTCCTGGCTGTACCCCTGCAGAAGTAAAATCCACCTTTTGGTTTTTCTTCTTTTCTTGCTCCCTCCTTTCCGCTTCCCGCCTCATGTCGGCTTCTACTTGCAGTAAAATGTTAACAGACACAATTATATTTTTTTTTAAAAAAAAAAAGAACTTTAAAGAAAATCACAAGCATTACACCATGCAGCTATCAAAACTAGGACACTAGAACTATACTGCGTGACATAAAGGAAATATAAACACAATACACTATGGTTTTAAATCCATCATTGCAATTTATAGATGTAGAAGTATAGAATTTTACTTTCTTCTAACAATGGAGCCTCTGTAGCCATGTGCTGGCTTTAACCTGATACTCAGATTTTTCGTAGGAGAAAATTATATTCATTCTGAGACCATGTCAAGCTATTATTTTGTTCCTTATTGTGTAATACATCACTTTGACTCCAACTCATAAAGATTCTACAGATGTTACCTGCAAAAGAGGGTTCAGAAAGTGTATCCAAGACAAAGTGACAGCTCATAGTTACAAAGACAGCTATCTTTTTCAGATGGTCTTCACTCTAGACTCGATGAAGGTGGACATCACAAAGTTTGGCTAAGGAGAAGAAAAGGGGAAAGTACACAATTGAAGTGATCATGTCAATTTATACAAAGCTTCCACCACTACATACATCAGAATTTGATAGCGAAAAAAGGTTAAGCACCCGTTTGTTTTCCTTTCCAGTTATGGGCCAGATATCACTCGATTTATTATTATCAGCATGGATTAAGTTGTTTGTTTGAATAGGTGGTCTCTTATCGCTGAATTTCCCTTGAAACTACATCCTGCCCCAAACGTGGGATGAAAAACCTGACTGAATACTAATGTGTAGCATTCTACAGTCCTAGCCCCTAACCTATTCCATACCAAATACTTCTTTCCTCATTTTTATTCTCCTGTGCATTGAAATTCCAATATTTTGAAAGAACAAACCCCAATTTCTCTCTGACAAAATATCATTTACCGGTCTGATAGTTATTTGGATGTGGGAATTTCAACTATCTGCTCACAAAATATCAATTTCATACATAATACACAGATCATAAGATTAATTTCTGCCACTTTCATTCTCATCATGTTTTGAGTATTACTTCAGTCAATTTTCTTTTTAGATTTTGTTTAGGTCCTGAACTGAATACAACATTGAAATGAAATAGAGTGTTGTGGACCGACATGACCACATTTGGAGTGGTGACCTGTCCATTGTGAGGTAATTATATTCTGGCCGGCTCGTTTTTTCATTTTATTTTATTTTATGTTTCAGAAAATAGCTGCTTCAGAAATGTGCAAATGCGAAAGAAACAGATGATGGTTTCTAATGAGGAAAATGTGAGAACAGTACCCAATGGTTTCCAATCATGAAAGTAGATGAAAGGATTTTTTTAGCTTTGTATGCATTAAAAGGAGCAACTAAGTAAAAATGTACCAATACAGCATATCTGTTGCTAAACCAAACAACTCATTTAAAATGCTTAATATCAAATCTCCCACGAAGTAAGCAAACATATAGCAGAGGGTGATATAATAGGAAGGAAAAAAAAAATGTCAGTACCATGAGGATATATTCATGTACAATCCATTTTTCAACCAAACACACCCTAATAGTATTCTCAAAATCCCAAAAATTTCTTCTTCTGTATAGGCTATTAACTTAAGCAAACACATATCATATGGAGTGACCTCTATATCATTTTCATTTGCGCGTTCCACATCACACATGGACAGGAAATAAAATCAAGAGCATTAGACATGTGTCTAACCTATTTCATCATAGAAGTCACTTTTGTCATATCCATGAGGATCAAAGACATCTTTTGTGAAGCATGAACCAATCTGATCAATATTTTGGTAAGTTACAGCATGCAGCAAAAAGTCTGGGTTCCGATACTCCTTTCTATTCCGCACCTCAGAATTGAAGCTTCTGCCACTAGTTTTCTTCAGCGCAAGAAACCTGATGATCTTCTCCTAAAAGTGGTACCAAAGGCTAATCAAGAAAATTTTCATATCAAGATAACATATTTACTCCAGTAAATGATGAATATAATGCAAATAGATAAACTGGTCGACTGCATCAACATATCAATCCTGAATTTCCCATTATTCTAGGCATTGAATTTTCTAAGATATAAAACTAAACTTGACTGTAAACCACAGTCATTTAAACAACACTTTGCAACCAGCAACACATCATCTCATGTGAAATATAACGGAATCATTCTCTAAGATACTCTACTAACCTGCAAATCTTCTGAGCATTTGTCCTTGGGGGGAGGAGGAAGAAATTTGTCTAATGGGTCAACATCTTTTTTGTCTTCAACAGAGACCATAACTGCATCCTCAGTCCCTCCAGATTCTGATTCCTTTACAGCACAACCCATACCGTCTGGTTCAGACTGATCAATTGGCTCCAACAATTGAGGTGGTGTTGCTTGAGTGCTTGGTGTAGTAAGCCGAGGTATTCCTGGTGATTTTTTCTCCCCAGACTCACCTAAGGCACAGAAAATCAATACAAATGTTGTTAAAAGAACATCTCAACAGCTTTAAAAGATTCCAACGTAAAGAAAGACCAATTTCTTAATATACAACAAATAATAATTTCAATGAACTCAAAGTTCAATATAGCTTACTCATTCTTTTATATGAACCTTCCCAAAAATGAAACAAAAAAGTGCTAGGACCTAAATACACAGACGATTGTAAGAAGTTGTGAGCAAGAACCAAAAAATGGGCTTTCCGTACGGTAAGTGGTAACAGGAAAGAACTTTAAAAACAAACAAGATTCGGTAATGCATTCACCAACACATTCTCTATATCATTACTCGGCCTATCTTTATTTCAAAATGTCATCTCTCGTGAAGAAACTACGGCATCCTAACATACCAGCATGCTTATGTTACTCAAGTTCTCAACAAAATCATGATAAAAGATCAAACAAATACAGAACTAAAAGCCTTACATACCATCACTAGTTTGAAGCATCTCCCCATAAATCACTCGACCAGCTTCCGGGATCTCACCACCCTACAACGCAACCAATCAGCAACCTAATATATTCTTAAATCATAAAATAAAAAACAACAGATGTTACATATCAAAGGTATGCCAAACCTCAGCCTCCGGAGACATCGCACCCTCCTCGTGCCCATAATCCACAATTAGCATCCGACTCTTTTTACTCAGTTGCTGCTGGTGCTGCTGCTGCTGAGGTGAAAAGAGAGCTTGCTGTGGAGTTGCAGATGCCGAAGAAGTAACATAATTAAATTCCTTACTAGGAGTAGAGCTATCGTTCAAACCTCTCTCTTCCTGTAGCCGCTGCATATTCCCATAATTTCCGTAATCTCCAACAATAACATCATCGTCATCTTTCACGGCGACGCCATCCAACGCCGGAGGGAGGTTAGCAACCTCTTCACGAGGGTTTTCTCTCTCTTCATCAAGGTCTTCCATCTCGTCGTCTTCGTCCCCGTACATCGAGAGCAAAGCTATGCCCTCCGACGCTTTCTTCTCCGGCGACATCCTGGCAACTGAAAACCCTAAATCCAAGGGCAGATTGTTTTCTCCTGGCGCTTTCTTTCCGCTTGGAATCGTTTCTATCCTGGATGCTTATCTATCCAGAGAACAAAACGAGGAATAAACAAGGGATTTTGAAGAAGAAGATGTTAAGGTCTAGAATTTGCGATCGGGAAAAGGTTGGGGTTTATCGTTCGAGAGTTTGCCTATTGCAGAAAGGAACTGTGGGGACTGTTTTCTATCGTCTGCCTGTCTCCAGTTTCTTGCAATTAGAATACACAAGTCGGGCGACCAACTGGTTTACTAGCTAGTTTATTATCTATAGTGCTGTGTGTCGTACTGAAAATCGAATCGGTTATCGAAACGGGTGAAGCTACCAGTTCAGTGGTTTATTGGTTAAACCAATTTAATTAATATACAACTTTTTATTTATTTTGTATGTTTTTCATTAATTTTATAGTGTATGATATTTTATTTTTTTTGAAAGGATATGTAATATTATAAATCAGAATACATAAATGTGCCAATACACAGCGCTAGTTGGACGGAATAGTCAACAGTTGAAGAAGTGGAGGGACAGGTCTGAAGACCGCCTAGAATCTCAACCATAGCAAAGCTAAAATAAAAACACTCGCAACTACATTAACCAACTACACAAACAACATCGGAAACTACTAAACAAAATATCCCACCAATTCAATATTTATGTAGATAATAGTTCAATGATGGATAATGTTGGGTAATGTTGAAATTTTTTTTGCATATTGAGTCGCTATTTTGCATATTGAGTCGCTATTTTTTATTTTTTAGAAAATAAAAAATAAATACAACTATAACTATTTTGCATATTGAGTCGCTATTTTTTATTTTTTAAAAACGATATGTTTTATAGATGAAAAATATACAACTAGACAACAACTAAAATAAGTCAAACGAACATTTAGTTTAATCTAGGGAGACTACCACTACAAAAAAAAACACTACAACTTCAACGAAAAAATCCAACGGCAAAAATTTTTGTTAGAAATTCCAATGAATATTCCAACAAACTTAATTTTATGCTGTAATAAGTGTTGGATAATTGAGGAATTCCAACGAATATTTTCCGTTGGAATAGCTGTAGCAATTTATTTCCATAGGATTTTTCGTTGGATATTTGCTATTCCAACGGCCGTTTTTCCAACGGATTTTTATACGTAGGAATATCCATTAGAATAGCTATTCCAACAGAAATATAAAAAATTCCAATGAAAAATTTCCGTTGGAATGTAAGAGTTTTTTTTTTTTTTTTTTGTAGTGTACCTTGCGGCACGAGTCTAGAGATTACTCTAACCCACTTACAAGACAAACAACTTAACAAACTAAACAAATCCCAAAAAGTGGGTAGTTCAGCTCGTACAAGAGGATAATAATAGCAAAAACAAGAAAAACGCCACGACACAAACACAACAACAAACACCAACAAAACAATACAAAACACAAATAAGTAGAATTATAGTACTCTCCTCTCCATTGACGAGACGATCTGCAACACACTGCGGCTCGACACCCAAAGACAACTGCCCACTCGGATAGGACTCCGACTTGAATATTGCCAGAAACTCTCTACACTACCAGTTGAAACCACACTAGATAACCAAAATCTTTTCTCAGACGGACGCCTGGAGCTATGACCGGAGGTCGGGGGACAAACCCCCCACCCCTCCCAACGACAACACTCGCAACCGCAATCTAGTCGCACAACCTACGAGCCACCACAGCCCCACGCCTAACCACCTGACCAAGTCCATACCACCAAACCAAAGTCTGGAGAGACGAAATTAGGGGAGGGGGAGTCTTATCTCGACCCCGACCAACGCCAGGTAGGCAGGTCGGAGTCAAACGAACTAGCCTTCCTCAGAAACCGAATAACCCCGCACTGCGACATAGGCACCCAACAAATCGGCAAGCCGTACATCGCGGGGCCTTTGGGTACCAGAGAGGCGAGCTTCGCGGTCAGCAGCTACAAGAACTGGCTTGTAGATATTTATCAAATACTTATTTACAATTCGATAATTAATGAACTAGTTAAATTCATTAATTGAATCAGCTATATCCACTTTCAAGTCGGTTCAATTATATGCCTATAGGTTATTCGTTAATCGTTTGTCAAATAAAGCTAGATATGCTGGACTTATTTACAATATTTGTTGGCCATCTTTGAGACCAGTTTCCTGTAAACAAAGCTATATTTATCTTTTTTCACCACAAACTTGACCATAGCACTGTTTTTCTTTGAACTTATTGCTTACAGACATATACCCTAAACCCAAAACTTGATAATGAACCAAAAAAGTTGACTGTATTTTGTCTAGTGAAAGTCAGGAAATGGGTATTTGGTGTACTCCAACAAATAAAGGAGCAAATTTAAAGACATGATAAATGGACTATGGTCCCTTTGTCTTCAACATAAAAAAAACATAGAAGAAAGAAAATGACAATTTTCATAAATCATAAATGATCTGTATTGAGTATATTGACTCAAAAGTCTTACCGGAACGCGGCATTATGCGCTAAGGCTATGTTTGGTAGACAAATAAGTTAACTTATAGTTTATTTGGTTAGTTTATAAGCTCTTTGTATTCGAATAAGTCTTGTTTGGCAAGACGAGCTTTTATAAAAAAATTCGAGTTTATTTGATACGCTTCTTTAGGTACCTTTTCAAATAAGCTAGTCGAATTTTTTATTCCAACTAGCTTATCAACTAGTTTTATCAAACACTTTTATCATATAAGCTAGCTTTTCAGCTATAAGTAATATCGAAAATTACTGATAAGCTATAAGCTAGCTTATCAAGCACTTTTATCATATAAGCTGAAAAGTTTGAAAATTACTGATAAGGTAGAAACTGGCTTATAAGCTAGTTTTACCAAGCATAGTTGCATCCAAAAGAATATTGTTTTATCAAACTTTAAGAAATTAAAGGGAATATTATAAATTAGAATGACTAAAGCTACAAATAAAAAAGAAAAAAGAAAAAAGAAAAAAAAAAAAGGCAAAAAGAGCAAAGAAAAGGGAAAAGAACTAAAGAGAATCAGTCTGAGAGATGATCTAAACCAGCCCTATTTATTTTCCCTTTAAGAAAAATGAATATTCACAGTATTAAAAACTCTTGAGGGAGAGCTTTGTCGCTCTTGTGGTCCTACCCGGCTCGATTTCGGATTAATCGGTTCCCTTGTGGATCCGGAAACCGGAAGGTCCCTGTACCAAAAAAAAATGTCATTTTTTTTATATTGTTTTTAAAGACTAGTAATTCAACTTGAAAGTGTTCATATTTGTTGAAAAAATATATCCATCTGACAGTTAAATTTACATTTGAGTATATTAGTTATATGTTTAAATAATAAATAAGAAAATAAAAAATTCAATTATGTCTCATTGTTGTAAAAAGTACAAATTCACAACTCCTTATGAAGATGAAATAAATGTCAACAGTATTTTTTAATATGGTTAAACTAATTAATATATTAATATCAGGAGTATTAACTTTCAATAAACTGCACAGTGAATAGAGTTGGCCAAATGCTTCAAAAATTCAAATCTCAAATAATATAATTCAAGTTGTTCACAACAACCTGCTCAATTTTTTATCTTCACAAAGTGGAACTAGAAATGCTTGTTAAGATTCTCAAGTTGAAAACAAAAACCTAAACTAACTAAAAAAAAAA